AAAAGTCCCTCTCCACCTTTCTTGTAGACCCTCTTCAGGTACTGGAAGGCTGCAACAAGGTCTCCCTGCAGCCTTCTCTTCTCCAGGCTGAACAACCCCAACTTTCTCAGGCTTTCCTCATAGGAGAGGCGTTCCATCCCTCAGATCATTTTTGTGGCCCTCCTCTGGACCCTCTCCAACAGGTCCATGTCTTTCCTGAGGTTCTCTGCAGTTCTGTTTCTGGTACTCTTCACAAATGCAGAAGTTGTTAACCACCTCTCCTACTGAGGCTTTCAATTTCAGGCTTTCCTTTCCCATTTTACCAGATCAAGATGTTCTTCATAAACCATACTTGGAATCCTTGGATGCGTTTTCTTACAGAACTGTTGTTTTTCTCCTTTCTTCACAGTCATTTCAAAGGGATACAACCCAAGTGCCTTTTATCTAAGCAGATCACCTGACTTTCTAATTTAATTATTTTTCTTTTTGGTTCAGTTGTGATGTTTCCCTTTTCTAAAACATGATCAAAATATATAATTTGTGCACTGTCTTATGATTGCTGTGAACCAGCTTCAGGTTGTGCCAACTGTATGTTATGAATAGAACAGGTTTTGGGTTTCATGTTACTAGAGCATCATTGACAAGATTTCAGTTCCTGTCACCCTTCTCATATTTCACACACCTTTCCCTAAAATATCACCTGTGCAGATAACATGTCAAATCCCTTGAAATGCTATTGCCCAACAGGTGAGGTGAAAATGATAAGCTGCAGCCCTAGTATGCCAGTACCTGCACTGAGTGCCTACTGCAGTGGACTGACTCAGTATCGCAGGTTTCTGTCAGCGTTTTTGCCTCTGCCAGGTGGCTACAATCGGCTTTGATTATGCCAGGAGCTTCTCCTCCTGTATAGATCACAGCTAATCAAATAACCTATTCCTGTGGCTTCATTTATTTTTCCATTACAGCCAAAGAAGTTGTGTCACTGTTTCTGGCCTTACCGGGTGTGCTAATCCTCCAGCACATGCACTCCCGACACTGAATTTGTAGACTGAAGGTCTATTGGGATGCTGCAGAATGAAGCTTTGGTTTCAGACACTTCAGGAATTGCTTGCTGAAAGTATTCAGCACACAAAGTGTCCTGTCATGGCTCTGTCACCATTAGGGTTTTTATCAAGTTGAATGCTTTTAAGGCTTTCAGTGCCAGTACTGGTTTTGCTTGCATGCATGTAATACTATACAAAACTCTTACTGATATTTGGTATCACATTTCCCTGCTGTATGGAGAGTACGTCCTGCCCAGCCAGCAAGTCCCGTTGAATCATGCCATGTCACATACAGGGGAAGGGCTATATTTCCCCACTGTTTTGTTTTCAGGGTTCAATTTAATTGTCCTGGGCATTTTCTGAGGATCTGTTCGGATAGCCACATACAAGCATTGTCGTCCTGTTCTTGTTTGTATTACAGCAGAACAGAAGTCAAAACATTGTATAACTTTTCTGCTTAGAGGTGTTCCCGGTTGCCTGCCTCATACCGCTACACCCGGTGCCGCCTTCTTGGCATGTGACATGGGCAAAGCTGGTTGCCTCGTGGCACTCCTTATGAACATTTTTCAGTGCTGTGCATCTCTCTGGCCTCATGTAAGGCAGTCTATGTCTGCTGCAAACACACCACATCTGCCCTCAACTACACCCTATGCTCCTCTGTCACTCCTGAGTGGGAGGGAGGAACGTATCTGCACACTAATCATCCCTCTGTCCCATCACATGCAGGTCATCACTGGCCCTAGTAGGTGTCTTTGATCCCTGGGCCCCATTTATACCAGTAAATAGAACCGTCTGGCCTATACTAGCTCACAAGGGACAAAACAACAAGGCAGTATGGGTAGCTGCTTATGTCTGCAGCTTGATCCTCTTCATTTTACTAATGCAGGTATAACCTGAATGTTTTATGTGGTCTAGTTATTCAAACTGCTATTTTCTAATGTTAAATTTTCTGACATATTTTAGTCTATTTTTCTAAAGATCTCTTCTCTGTGAGGCTTCCTCTACAGTCAGCAGAGAAGAAACCTTGCAGGACAAGAGTCTTTTGACTCAGCTGTGTCTGAGGAGATGCTTCTCTCCACTGACTTTAAAGGAAACTCAGCTACACTGAGGAGGTCTAATGTCAGGTGAAACAAAACCCAACCCAGATGCCTGAATCTACAAAATGAAAAAAAAAGTAAAATTAATAAATAAACAAAATCATCTCAATGCTTTGAGTGGCTAATGGAGGAAGGTGCTGGTCCTCATCTACAAACACATGCTCTTCAGTGATTTGTACTTCTAGTTGTACAGCCCGTCGCTGAATCACTCACTGCTACAGCTTCTGCTGCCAGCCAGCCCCTGCCTGTGCTTTGTGCAAACCCCAGAAATGCGATAAAATATTCAGCTTCCCTCTGCCTGCCAGACTGTCTGTACGTTTGTCCATCCTTCCGAAGGGAGGCCCGGCTGTATTGTCTACAGCAGCTGCTTCCAGTAATTCAAACCCAAAAGATCTTCAGTGTTCTTGTCTTTCCTCAGCCGGCCCACAGCTACATGCCAGTACTTTGGATTTTTCATCACAAGCTTGCAGCTCAATCTTACTTTGAACAATGGAGGGGAATTCTCACTTGCCCAAGGAAAATCTGAGAGATTTATACATTTTGACTTCTTATTTCCTCTTCTCTTCTTCTGATTCTCATAGAATAAGCTGTCTTTCATCTCTGCTTGTTCTGGGCTTGTTTGTGCTTTCAGTTCTGTGACTCCTTTGTCGGTTGGAAGGCCCTCTGGCCAAGGTTTATATTAATAAGATTTTAAATGACACTGCTGTGAGCAGATGAGCTTAGCACCCAGGG